ATAATATCCCAAGAGTGGGGGAGAACCAACGCATGCTGGAAGGGGATAACGGAGAACCATGGACCAGCTGCTGGGGCAGGGGGAACAGGGCCCGCTCGTGGTGTCCTCTGCTTCAAGCATCCCCCTCCAGGAGTGAGGGGGGCTGGTGCTGGGTACGAAGGCTCCAAGAGTTTTTCCCTGCTCAGCTCCCGTTTCCTTCCAGCACTGCCAAAAGCACCGGGGGCCCAGAGCTGTCCCCAGCTTCTCAGGAGGAATGCAAAAAATTGCCAAATTATTCATAGAGACACAGAAAAGAGCTTGGAGAGAGGCGGCTCCTGCAAGGGGAAAGCAGAGGTGAAGGGAAGGAAGAAAGTGATTAGCGTAACAGGAGCATTAAAGGGAGCAGCTCTCAAATAGCCATGAAGCCACCCCAAAACCTGCCTGCCAACAGCCTAGTTTGGGAACCAAAAAGTTCTTTTTAGAGCAGCTCTGCGAGGAAACACGTAAGAACCGAGCAAGAGGAAGAGGGCAAAAGCCGCAAGGATGTGTTTCTTGACACTTCAGCTTAGAAACAAATGCACCAAGTAGCTAAAACAGCAGGGGACAATCCGTATCGGGCAACAGCTCCCTGTGTCCTTCCCTGCGTGATCCTTCAAGCTGTCACCCATCTCCCAGCCCTGAAGCTCGAGCTTGCACAGCCTCACGGGCAGATGCAATAAGGTAGCAGAAGAGAAGCCCACAGGCTCATTGCATATATAGAAACGGCCTCCAGCACTCAAAGGTCCCGAGGTGAAAATTTAGTTATTGCCCCGGTGGTTGCTGTGTGCGAGCGAGCAGGAGCTCGCACGCTCCTCGTTTCCCCCAAAAGCTGCTCGGTCCCAGGCCTCCTTCCCAGGCACTGCCAGCAGCTGGCACAGCAGAGGCTTTTCTCCCCCTCCAGTGCTGAAGACGGTCACGAGGCCAGGAAGGAAAGCAGGCAGATCTTACGTAACCGCCAGTCCGCGGCCGGCTCCTCGCACACATATATTATTTGGAATGTCTTAGATAACTCGAGCTTAAATATTTCAAGCAAGCTGCTCCCTTGCCATTATTCTCTTCCGCCTCACTGGGCCACTCGACATGAAAGCCGGAGATCGGGAAGGGGGCGAGGAGCGGCAGCAACCAAGAATTGATAACGACATGAATATTTATGGAGTGCATTCCCATTCCGTGCTCCTAATAGTCCTGAGGGGTGGGATGGAACGTCCCTTGTGGGCACAGAGAAAGTAAACAGGCAAATTATCTGGCCAAGGAGAGATGCCAGAGGAGGTGGTGAAGGTCCACCAGGGCTGGTGAGATGGGTGAGGACAGGGACAAGTTGCGTGGCTGGACCCATGGCCTTAGGAACGTCAGCAACAACAAGGTCGTGGCAGATAGGAGCCCAGTGCACATCAGAAAGCCCAAGTGCAAGCAGAAAACCCACGGCCCCTTGCTGAGCAGAAGACAGCTCATGAGCCAACCTCTGCAACTCACTGCAGGCTGGGAGAGAAATGTTCTGCTAGGTTTGTTGCATCCACTCTTCCCACCACTGTGGAAAAAAATAAGACCCTAAAGTTCAACAGGCCTCGTGCAGCCCTTGGTAGAGCTCAAAGGTGCCAACAGGCAGGGAGAGACACATTAACAGGGTCAGGCAACCTGCCCAGACCTTCATCCGTCTTTAAGGCCAGCCCAGCTGTCCACAGAGATCCCTGGGTTACTTTGGATCTCTTTGGATTTGGTACTCACAACAATATTGCAAAAGTAAGCATTGAATTCACATATCCAGGTGGTGTTCAGGCCACCCAAAGCATCACCAAATAATTCAATCCTTAAAAATGAAAATAATAAGGACACGGTTTCTCAGAGCTTTGCTAAAGTTGGGGCACTGACCAACCCCGAGGTATCAAAGGCCACCACGAGAGATGTTGGAGCTCTCAGGAAGACTAAGATGGTTGTAATATGGTTGGCAGCAAATCCAGGCACCAGAAGAGTCTAGCTTTCACTGCCACCGATTTCTTCCTCCTACTGGACTCCATACCTCAGTTTCCCCATCTGGAAACCTAGCTCTGGGCTCTTGGATGAATGCACAGCCAGTTGGCCATGACCTAATTTTAGGCAGAGGTTCCCAAGCTTAGGATGCCATGAAAGGTCCTGATCCATGAAGGACATGGTCAGAAACCTCCTCAGAAAGTCACATCCCCTGGAGATGCCCCTGATCTGGCTGGTCACTAACACCCTGCTTAAAGCAGCCTCACTCACCAAGTGGGACCAAATCATCCTCAAGAGCACAGGATGCTCCAGGACTGCTTTAGGTGTCCCACACATCCCTAGGAGAGACAAGGCTCTCCATTACAAGGAGATGGAGAAGGGGACGCAGAGACTGTGGCCTTGTGGCTCTCAGAAGAGACCAATCAAATCAAGAAAACCACTTCCCCTCAGTGTGTTTCCTTGCAGACCTCACTCCCTGCCCCATCTCAGGGCCACAGCAGAGGCGTTTCTACCTCCTCTGCTCCCTGGACAAGATGCTGAGATCCCAACTGCTCTTTGGCAAAGGTTACAGCAGATGCCAGTGGTGGTTCCTATCACCCCTCATCCCGGGCTGCCTCCTCGGACACCTCCAGCACCATCTTTTGAGCTTCCAGTCGCACCACACAGGCTGTGCTCGCAAATCCCTAAGACCTCTGGGACATTTGCACACCACGGCTGCACCTCTTACCACAGGTCCCATCCTGCCACCTGCCCAAGGTGCAAGGAGGTGGCCCCAGAGACCATTTCTCCTCCCTGGTCACCTTCCCTGTGCAGCTGCCATCCCAGCAGATGCTCTTCCTACATGGAGGAGGCCAAAATGGTCTTTCCCAAGAAACAAAAAGTCCTCTGCTTTGTCACCCTGGAGAAGTCCCCAGCTGAAAAGCAGCAGCGGTGACTGGTAGACTCTTGTGATGATGCATAGGGACTTCAACCTACACATTTTGGGGAGATTTCCTACCAGAGCATGACCTCTTCCCCAGCCCTTTCGCCCCACAGAGAACTTTGCTTCTCCCCAAGGAGGCTCCTGAAGTGTGTCCCATGGCCATACCTCGGTGAGGGTGGAGGGGAAGGCCACCTCGTGCAGGTGGAACAGAGGGACGCACTGGAAGGTGACGGTGATCACGACGCCCAGGCAGCCCAGGTGCAGGCGGGCAGCCTGGAAGATGTCTGCGTTGAGCGACTCGGAGCACTCCAGCATCTCCCCCGAAGCCGTCAGCAGCGTCAGCGCCACAACCTGCCGCAGGGAGAGGACAGTGTCAATCCCATGAGCCCATCCCTCCTAGGAACGGCCTCCTCTTCCCCGTTCACCCAAAGAAAGACAGATGGGAACAGAAAACAGGAGTACAGAAAGAGCACAAAGTAGGGCAGCGCTAATAACTCTTGCATGCTCCTTAGGAGTCACTCTGGATTTATGTCCTAGGCTTCCAGAAGCAGCCCTCACCAGCAGGTACCTCCTAGGCCATCTCCAGGGCTTTGTATGCAGCATGTGATGTGTGGCTGGTCAGGAGCAACTGGCAGCCTCAAAGCGTTCAGGGGGAAGTGCAACCGGTTGGAAAATCCCAGGAACACCTGAATGTCTTTGCAAGACACCAGCAGACCCAGGTTCCTCTGAGACTTTGCTCCCTACGGAGCTTCATCCAGCCATCACCGTGGGACCAGGCGTTGGTGTTAGGCGGTGGCATAAAGCCCTGGCGATGCCACGTGGGACCGTGGTCCTCCATCCATCAAGCTTTTGGCAGCAATTTGGGACACCCACCTTGGATGCCAGGCTCCGGGTATAGACACGCATTCCCGTGCCCGCCTTACCTGGGTGGGGAGGATGCCATGCCGGATGCCGGTGTTGTGCGTCCCCGTGCCGATGACACCGGCCGCCGCCACCTCAGAAACGGCACCCAAACTGCAGGCAGACGAGCAAGCCAGGTGAGCATCCCAACTCCAGTGTCATCCCTCCAGTCGCATGGGTGCAAGGAGGCCACGCTGAGATGGGGACCCACCGCCCATCCCCTCGCTTCACCACCCAAGAACTGGAGATATCCCAAAGGGATGCCAAGCTAAGACCCTCCCACACACTCACTCCAGCTGCTAATTACCCTTGGCCATTAAAAAGCTGATTTCTAGCCTGATTTCATCTGCCGTCAGCCTGCTCTTCTGCCAGATTAAAGAGCCGCTGGCTGCCAGCCTCTCCAGCGCGCTGTGCACTGAGGAGGGCAGCGCTAATCTCTTTGGAGATGGAGAGAGCAAAGCTTTCATTTGTGACAAAAAAGCACTGGGGTTGCAACAAAGACAAAGGCTCACTCATCCCCATGGCAGAAGCGGACATCCCATCCTGATAGTCTCGACCTGAAGACCAAATTTCCAAGCAAACACCTCTATTATGCAGAAAAAGCTCCTCAAACATTGCTGTGTTGGCATGTCCCAGCACATAAAGTGGCTCAGTAATGAACAACAGGGAGAATACCATGTCACTCACTTGGCCAGGGCCAGCCCGTGCTTGCTCAGTTCAACGTTCAGATCCGAGAGGAAGATCCCACCTTCCACCGTCACTTGCTTCTTCTCCTTATCTACCTGCAAGAGGGGATGCAGGTGAGAGAGAAAGTTAGCAGACCTCAGTAGGGCATCTCCTCAGCAGATAAGGGCTATCCAGGAGATCTGGGTACTGTGATCTATGGCTCCATCAGGAGCTATCACGTCTCTCTCCAACCTTAACCCAACCCTCACTATCCATGGTGTCTGCGCATCATGTAATGCAAAGTTTTCCTGAGTGCAACCAGAAAGAGCTTTGTCCTGCTTGACGTTAAGCATGGCATAGCATATGACATTAAGCATAGCAAATTGAAATGGAGTGATTTACCTCTCTCCTGTGGGGAGGCTTCCCACCTTACATAAGGGGAAAATCACAGACCACCAGCATCCACATGAAATGCTCCACGAGGCCACCATGCCCAAGGCTCTTTTGCTTGTCTGCACCAAGCAAGCCATATTGCACTCCCCAGGGCATCCTAAGAAAAGTTGTTCTGCTAGATTATCTCCTCTCCACCCAGCAGATCACGCTGCTATGAGGCCAACTTGTAGGGGCTAAGCACTTCCATCTCTATGAGCAAAAGCTAAGCACGGTGGGATCCTCTGTGGTGCAAAAACTGGACCTTCAAGGTAGGTGTCATCTCCTCCCAGGTCGTTTCGAGAGGGAACCCCCATCCCTTTTTATCCCACCACAGCTATGACGATGACAGTGCAATGACTCCCCATCCTTGGTGACTGCAGACAAAGGTGCCACCAAGTCTCACCTTGAGGATCCTGTTCATCTTCCCCATCTGGATCATGAAGTCATCAGTGCACGCGATGTCCGAAGGGGAGTGGGCACCCCCCACCACCTTCACCCTCTTGTTCCTCTGCCTGGCCATATCCAGGATCTGCAGAGACAACACAGGGTCCCATGGCCCCCTCAAAGACCAAGGAGCTTCCATAGGGGTGAGACTTTGGGATCTGGGGTTCTCTTAACCCTCTGAAGGCCCAAGTGATTAACCTTACTAGTCCCCTGGACTTCTTCTGCAGCCAAGGACAAGAAACTACCATCTCACAGCAATGAACAAATCTCACCCTTTTTTTACATCTGCTTTACACAGATAATTCACCCAGTGTCTGGGGCTAAAACCACTGCTGAAACCCAGACATCCCTGAAGGCATCAGCCCAAGAGAGGTGATGCCCATCAGAGGCTGAGGCATCCCCAGGGCTGAGAGAAGTGACATAGCACTTGCATGAAACTTCCCAGGGACCATCAGAATTTCCCTAGAGATGCCCAAATTTCCCTAGGCTAAACCCTGCCTCTAGCCCAGGGACAGGATGTTGGTTTTCTGCATCTTTCAGATGTTTGACACATCTGCATGGAGCATCCATTGGGAGGCAGTTTGGTAGGATGGACCAAATCCCAGCATTGAGCAGATAGCATAATCATGACTGAATGTGATGGAGCATTACAGCCCATCTTGGCCTCTCTTTTCTGCTAATTTCCAGTTTCTCTTCACTTCTGAAATCACCCGCCTTACCTCCCGGATCTCCTCCACCGACGTAGGCTGGAAGTACAGCTCCGGAGAGGAGCCATAGGTCTTGGCCCAGTTCTGGAACTTGACTCCTCCTTGACCATGAACCTAGATGAGGAATAAGAGCTGGAGCAGAGGAGCGCGAGCCCTGGTTTTGGGCACAGCCTGTCAAATCCATGGTCCCAGGAGACTTGGAGAGCCAAGTTTCTAAGGTGATTTGATATTTATGGATGCAGAGAATTCACCGAGGTGAACCCAGGTGGTCTCACCATGAGGATCCGACCTCAGTCCTGGAATCGGGAATGATGTGCAGGGCTCGACACCAAAATGAGCCCCCTCTGCAAGGACAGCCTGGTCCGATCCCAGCCCCATCCCCAACCCTCCTCCAGGGCCATCAAGGAGCAATTCGCGGCTCCTCCCAACGAGCAGTTTTGGAGCCCCCCGAGGCAGGGGGGAGGTCGCAGCTGCCTCGTTACTCATCGAGGTCCTCGCCCGTCTCCATCCCCGCTGGGCACGGTTAAACCCGAGCCTTTCACCCCACCACAAAGGCGGCGAAACCGGTTTATCGCACGGAAAGCACCGCGGGAGGAGGGGAAAGCACAAAGGCAAGAAAATGTGAAGTAGAGAAACAGCTGTTTGGTAAAACAGAAAATCCTCGGGGTTAGAAACCACTGCTGCTCACAAGCCAGCACCTGATCTTATATATGCAATAAAAAGCAACCTTTTGGCTTTCCTCCTCTCTTTTCCCGAATCTCTGCAGAGTGATGTTTGCAATTGAATAAAATGCGCAGGAAGGCTTCGGAGCAGCCCCCGACAGCGCTTCCCACCCCGCGCTTCCCCGCCGTCCTCACCATCCTGCCGGTGCCGAGCTGGGCGCTGCAGGGCCGGGATGCAGCAGGGCCGGATGCTGCGACGCTCCGAGAGCTGCTCCAGGCCCCGGGTCCAAGAGCCGCCCGAGGGGTAATGAGTAACAGCCCTCGCAGCGGGGGAGAGGGGCTGCGCCCTTCGCTCCGGCCTGGAAAACTGGGATCTGGACCCGGCTTGGGTGCTGTTTCCCATGGGAAAGCTACAAACACTGCAAGGCCGTGTCCTGCACGGAGCTGGTGGCCTAAAAAGGGGTGGCACCTCTGGGGGTGACACTGGGCACCCATGGGGTTTGGGTAGCGCAGGGTGCAGGGATACAACAGTACTTGAGCATCCAGTATTCATGGGACATCAGGATATTGCTCCCCGCCTCACTGCATCACGTCACCCCTTGCAAAACAGGAGCTGAAGGCTCCTTGCCCCATTTAGCCATAATCTAACTCTAAATTTGCTCTGTCCCCCGCTCCAAGGAGCGCCCAGCCAGCCAAAGGGGCTTCCAAGGGCTCTCCGGATCTCTGCCGAAGGACGGGCAAGGAGGGACAACTCGCAGGAGCTCTGCGGCACCGTGGCTGCGCTTGGGCGATAAGAACCCCCCCTTTCCCAAACCCTCCTTAATGAGATGATGATAACGATGCTGCCCAGATGGCTAATGCAGGCAAAGTGACCCCCAGGAGATCCACGCGGCAGGGATGGGGGTGCCACATCCCTGGAGGTGCCACCTCACCCTCCAAGGACACAGAACTCCTGAACGTGATAGAATGGGAATGCGATCATGGATGGGCCATGCAGGGTGCTGGGAATATCGCTTCCTCATTGCAGGAATTACACAGCCCGTGCAAAGACCCCATATCCCACCACTTTGCCAGCGGCCTTTGCATCCACTTCCAAAACTCCTTGGCCTATCAGCATCCAACAGCCCTTCTCCAACCCCGGCAACCTTTTCCCAGCTGCGTTGCAGCAAATTAATGAGCATTAATCCAAGATGACATCGAGCCCAGTGAGGTGCCGATAAGAGCAGTTTATCCGGTCCTTCCACCTCCACGTCTTTTCTCCTAAGAGCTCCGGGTCAGTGCATTGCGTTGCATAAACAGGCCCAAAGGTCACCAAAAATCACTATAAATAAATAAATAAATAAAAGCCCCACTCTCTCGTGACAGGTTTTGCACCCATCACAGGGGCAAAGTACATCCCTGATTACTCGTTAACGAGCATAAGGGGAAGGCGAGCAGGGCTGCAATCCCTGCAAGCCAGGGCAAAGAGATGGGGAGATAGGAATCGCAACCTGCTCCCACCCCTTCCCATGGGGAAGGGCCTAGGATCCTCCCACCTCCCTAGGGTGCTAATGAGCCTCCTAACGAGGCTTTAGGTGGTTTCTGGAGCGATTAAAGCCATTACACCCAGCTGGGCCACCCACAGCTGTTGCATCAGCCACCTCTCTGGTGCAGCAGGAGCAGGGTCCTCCTCTGGGTGTCTCCCCACTCGCCCATTTCCATGAAATCTGCAGGAATTTCTGTTTTTTTGCAATTACTCTCCTTGCAGTTGTATATCTGGACTATACCTTCCCAGGTTGCAATGCCTGCCGAAATTGCAATGCCCACCCAAATTCGTGCAACGCATTCCCAGGTTGTGCAATGCCTGCCTAAATTTCAGGGCGTTCCTGGATTGCAAAATCCATTTCCAATCTATTCCCAGACTGCAGCAGGGAAAACAGGCGCTTGGCTCCAGCACCCTGATGTTCCCAAGAAACCAGAGGGCCCGCAGCATTCCTGGGCCATCCCTGGCACCGGAGCTGCATCCCTGGAGCTGTAGGGAATGCGGAGCCCACATTGTGGAGCATGCCCGGAGTGGGAGCAGAGCAGCAGGATCTGCCTCCATGCTGGAAACGATACCCTGAATATTGGACGGCCTTTTCTTTTTTTCCCCCTTCTTTCTTCTCCGTTTAAAAATAAAATAGGCAAAATTTAATTACAGGCAGCTTTCATTCTTTATTTCGTGCTTTCAATCTCCAAGTGCCTTTTTTTTTTTTCCTTTTTATTATGTTTCTCTTTCTTCCCCTTGGCAGAGTTAATTGCTTCCCCTGCAAAACAGGGCCAAAGGCAGGAAGAAAAAAGGCTGGGGAGGAAGGGAGGTCAGGGCTGAGGCTGGGTAAACTCAGTGCCCCTGTGAGAATGGCAGGTTTCTTATAGGAAAACACGGAATATGGGATCCCCTCCTGCATCCCATGTCCCATCCAGCTGTTGTGCAGCTGGAAAGGTGCAAATAGGGGTTAAAGCCACCAGCTCCAGGGACAGCCCCAGAGCAAGGGGCACCAGCGGCCCTCGGTTGTGCAGAACGCGGGAGCCATTCCCATGATTTCCAGCCCCTTTCCATCCTTTCCCAAGGGATTTTTTTTCCCAGGATATTTCCTGCAGCTCGTTTCCCCAAGGACGGTGCAGAGGGTTTTATTTTTTCCTCCCAGCTGGGTGTGCAAAGACGCATTAGCAAGCAGCTTATAGACCCCGCAGCCGCTGCAGCCGCAGCCAATTACTCCCGGCGCTATCAGAAAAGCAATCAGGGGCGCGGGACGGATTGATGCCTTGCCCAGAGCGCGGGCTGCGCGGAGCTGCTGAGTCTCCATTACCCCGGGGACATGTAATGATTTCTCTTCCCCGTATTAATTCTTTTTTGTTCTTTATGCCGGGATTTATAGAGCCGAGATGCCATAGATCGTCTCGGCTTAAAAATAAAAGCTGCCTTTGCCGGGAGCCCGGGCGCTGCCAAGCAATCCTTGGACTTTCGGAGGTGCAAGGTCCTGCTGTCCCATTGCAGCGAGCCAAGCGCCGGGTGTTGGCAGCTGGCCCTGGCTCAGCCCTTCCTTGGATATAGCCCTGTGCCGAGCACGGGTTTATGGATTCACCTTTCACATAGTGCCCTGGGTCCGGACTCACGAGTGCCATTGGACTCCGGTGACCCGTGCCAGCCTGTGCTCCGGGGAATAAAGTGTCGGGAAAGAGCCGGAGCTCCCGGCCCAAGGATGCTTTCCGGGGTGGAACATTTCTGGGGGCTCATTAAGAGAGCAGAGGCCCCTGCTGCCATGCAAGCCCAGCCCTCCTATGAGACATCAGAGAATCCCCTTCCCCAGGTTGCTCTCTAGAGGCTGCCCAAGGGACAACAGAGCCTGTCCTGGGGTCACCAAAGAGTCCCCAGGGGGGTGGCTCCAGCAGCAATGTCCCCCCCGGTGGCGAGAGAAGACGTGGGCACCACATGGGTCCTCTTGTGCTTTATTGCCCAGTGGGTTAAAAGGCACCACGTGATTCCCAAGGCAGCGTTAAGTGCAATCATTAGTGTTCGAAACCCCACGCACGAGCTGGCCCGCAGGGTGCTCATCCCTGCTTCCCACAAATCCTCGGAAAACCAAAATCCTGAGCGGCCGAGCGAGGCCGGCGCCGCGGCCCTCACAGCCGGGAGATCTTGAGCGGCGCGGGGCTCTCGGGGAGCTTCTCCAGCCACTCGAGCAGGATGCGGTTCACCTCCACCGGCCTGCGGGAAGCACAGACGGGCATTAAAGTTACATCCCGGCTTGATCGACATCCCCTGGGCACCTCCCCATCCCAGCGTGATGCTCTGGGAAGGGGTTGAGTCCCGCTCTGAACCCTCGGGCACCCCGTCTCAGCACGGAGCATCCCGGCGCGGAGCATCCCCGCTCCCGCTTTACTCTCGTACCTGTCCATCTGCGTCCAGTGGCCGCACTCCTCGATGTGTCCCCGGCTCAGCTGCGGGATCTGCGGAGCACACGGGGGTCGCTTGGCGCCCCACTCATCGTCCCGCCGAGCTCCACGCGCAGCCCCGCTCCGCATGGCGCTTACCCACTGCTCCATGCCCTGCGACATTCCAGGCTGGAGCACCGGGTCCTTCCCGGCCGTGATCATCAGCGCCGGCATCATGATCTGTGGGACAGCGAGGAAGAGGGGCAGGCGAGGAAGGCAGTGGCCACACCATGTGCCTGGGGGCAGCCCAGGGGCCTCTGCTCTCCCCATCCAGCCTCCAAATCCAGGAAAGAGCCGCCTTATCCCCAAACGAAGCCCGGAGGAAGCCACTGCAGATCCCATCTCCCCAAGACCGGGATGGGGACCTCACATCCCCATCCCTCCTTCCCCTGCCCGATTTAATCCGTTTAATCCCGCGGGGGGCTCCGGAGCGGCGCCCACCTTCCTGTCCTTGGCCAAGAGCGACCAGCGCCAGTTGGGCCGCATGTTGCGGTACCAGTTCAGGGGTCCCCTGGGAGGGCAGCGAAGGGAGGAGCTGGAGCGAGCGGAGCGCACGCGGCCACGCTCCTCCCGCGGGGGCACCGGGAAACGGAACGGGGGGCAT